CATGAGACCTCACATGATTTAAGGACATCTTCCTCATCCACAACACCTAAATTTAAACCAAATAATATTAATAATCTAAATAATAACGTTGAAATTCTTCGTTTTTTTAATTATTAACACCATTACTTGTTAAATAAGAAATTTCAATGAAGTTTATTATTATATCATTGTCATAATTCATATTTTAAACTTTAAATCATTATCTACTTTCTTAAACTAATACCATGTTCAACGTTGTTTTATTTCTTTTTTATTTTTTCTTTTTAATTTATAAAAATAAGTTTTAAAATCACGTCCATGATTGGAATCTAGATCATGACTATACTTACTTACTTGACTTGAACGGTTTCTAAAGTGAAGATCATCCCCCATAAACGAACATGGGTTCTTCTACTATGTTTTGTCTCCTAAAGACTACACCAATTTCATAGCCTTCATCATGATACGTCGTCATTTGCACATGGGTGTCTTACCTTTGTGACTTAATTATTTCAAGAAATAATTAGTAAGGAGATGCAAAATGATATGACCTATCCTTTTAACATATCATAACATGATCTTAGGTAGTTTTCTAGTTCGGTTAAGGTTGGATGTGTAGTACGTAATGTGTGAGCATGGGTCCCACTAGGTGGACTCATAAACCCTATGGGCCAAATGAGCTCTTACTGAACAATATTTTATTCAATTTATTATTATTTTACCAACTGCCGTTACACACGGTCTCGATTTACTCACCAACATGTTCTTTTACTTAGATGTGACATAAATAAATAAAAGGTGGATTTGTGGTAATTTTTGAATATTTGAATTGTGAATATGATGAAGAAGTGCACATGATTGCACATGGTTTACAAGTTATTTTGGCATCCCAAGATTGATCCTTAATTATTATTTGTGCAACAAACACAAAACACAAGAACATTAATGCGACAAACTAACTTTACCTGAAAAAACTGCCGACGGTTTCCCAACTAACTCACCTCGCTCAATACTCAACTTGAATGGCTACGATTCTCAAGATTAATTCAATTAATTCTACTTTGGGTGCATGCATTTAAACTAAGTCTTCCACCACATTAATTCAATTAATTCTACTTTAAAAGGAGCTTTCTTTTATTATTATTATTATTATTATTATATATATATATATATATATATATTTGAACTTAGAACATGCTCCATAACATTGTTCTAAGCTCATAATCATTAATTAAAAATTAAATCAAACTTTAGATACTCATTCAAATCTTTAAAGTCAAAAAAGTGTTAAAAAAAAAAGAAAATATTTCAAAAAGTTTGATAAATTTGCACTCCAAAACAAAAAAAGAGGAAAAATGTAGAGTATTTCTTAAAAAGAAAATGTAAAAAGGTCGGTTCAATGATAGTTAGGTTATCTAAAATGATTTCTAACCGTCCTAATTAACGAAAGTAAACGGTATAATTAGAAAGAGGAACCGAGACCCTGTCAACAAAAGTTTTTTTTTTTTTAAAAAAAAAAATTTCTAAAAACAAAATAGGAATTTAGATTCTTTTTTTCTTCTTTGGGGAAATCAAATGAGAGCCGAACAAGTTAGCACTGACATCGACATGTGTGGTCGGGTAAAAGACATTTCACAATCATCGTACCTTTCATTACTCATTCGTTCCTTCTCTCTAACGTGTTTAGAATGGAAATTAATCTGCCACCTCCCCAACCCCTATGAACTTTTCTTGTTCAAATTAAAGTTATACCCAAAAGGGATGCTACCAATCTTTGAATTCCAATATCATAGTACTAATCAGTAGTTTAGACGGCACAAAGTTCTTAACTTTTTGCTGTTGCAAGTTAAAAAGTTTGATTATTCTTTTTCAACCATAAAAAAAAAGTCAATTAACGGCCGATTCTTAAACTATAACACGATTGTTACAACATGCCTCTTGAAAACAATAATAAAAATAGCTTAAAGATAAGCTTTAGTCGAGAGTAAATAATTTATATCAGTTGAGCTATATTCATATTGGTATAAGTACATGCATATCATTTCATTAAAAAAATCTTGAAAGAGCAACTAAACGACAAGAACTAAAAAAGCATGACAAGGAATGGACAAACATTCTGCACAACGAAAGTTGAACAAGTCGTGACGAGTTGAGGGGTCGAAAAGAGACGAGTGAAAGAACGAGTCAAACAATAAGAAAAGGAAGCAATGTTGTTAGTCTTTGAAATAGTGACAAATGAGAGAAAGAGATGATAAAGTTGTTCCCATATAATTGGGGGTTGGGATAAGCCATTACAACATTATGGGCCAAGTGGGCTTCAAATGAAATGAAATGGTGGGCCCTTATTAACATTACCCATTTTATTTGGGTCCACCACCTTCAAGCCTTGACACGTGTCAAATAGAAGAGAGATTAGTTTGACCTTGACCTTAATTTTGTTGTGTGTCGGACAAAAAATAAAATCATTTTCACGTGGATTGTTTGGCGCAACTTTTTATATATTGTTTGGAGCACCAATTTTTGTCCCTAATTAAGAAAAAAAAAAAATGTGACACATAATTTTTAAATTTGATTATTTGTTTCCGTTTGTATTTGAAATGGTTTAATCGAACAAATTGAATATTTTAATTCGAGGCTATTTTGAATGTGAATCGTAAAAAGGAAGCAAATTTGGTTTGCGGTGTTACCATTGTCATATGGGTCGTGATAACCGATTGCTGAAGACAATGATGACTAGAGTAGCATGACATCGTCGGAATCACATGCACATCGAATTATTATATTTCAAATCATTCGGATCAATTTGTAATTCAATCAAAAACTTTTTACTCGAATTATTATTTTTTATTTTATTTGTTAACTTTTCTCGAAACATTAGAATTTAATTTTCGTTTAAATTTGTGAATTTTTGCAAAATTATTCCACAATTAATCTAATATTAATGAAACTTAAATTTATGCTAATAGTAAATTGATGTAACGAGAAGTGCAGAGTAAATTAGAATGCGAGTAAAATTAAAAAATAAAAAATAAAAAAAAATTAAGATTTATTACATTTATTTATTTTTTAAATGACAAAACAATATCTAAAAAAGATAATGGACAAGATTACCCCTCACCCAAAATTAAAATTACTGTCCAGTCTTAAAGTAAAAAATACACGATATTTATATTTTCGACCACAAACATTATTATAATAATAATATATATATATATATAATTTAAGAGTAAGGGGCCTATGTGGTAAGCTCATTAAGGCCCATCAATATATTATTTTTTAGAGTAAGTTTCTGCAAATCAATATTTTATTGTTTTCATATTTCATTAAATTTTTGTATATAACTAATATTAATCAATAATTTTGGAAAAAAATATTTGAAACAAAATCAGTATAAATTAATACGGTTTTTATTTATTTATTTATTTTATAAATAAGAAGTATTTAAAACAATGGGATTAATTTAAAACCTATTTTTGAAAAAAACAAAAACTATTTAAAAAAGGATTAAATGAAAATCTGCTAAATATGTATAAGAAAAAATAGCATTTTTTTATTTATTTATAAAATTACTTTGGAATATAATATAATTAAACTAATTTTTTTTATTTAGAGCACTTTTTAGAAAAAGAGAAAATATGAAAATATTTACTTTTTTTTTTTAATTTAAATTAATTTTGTAATTTTTTTTAACACAACGCTTTTGTAATAATCTCCATTTTACCCGTTATTTACAATGTTTAATTATTTTACTTTTTTAAAATTTGGATTTAATGCTCATTTTATTGTGTGTAATTTCGGCTTAAAAATTAAATAATAATTTTAAAAATTGTTTATTCCTAATTCGAATCTAAAATAAAATAATTAAGGCAAAACTAGTCGGGAGTTGTTAATAATAATAATAAGAAAAAAAAAAAATCATGGCACAGCCAAAAGACAGGAGAAAAATTGTTGCCGGTAGTGAGTATTGTATCCAATAAGTGGCCCTATTATCGAAATTTGAGATGCTCACGCACATAACGTGATTCAAAACTTCATAAACACACGTGGGACCTAATCTTTTAAAACCTTGTTTTAGAACGTGTTGACAATTGACATATCTCATTAACTGTATTAACTTTTGGCGATGTCTATACGGGGTCCATGTTGCGAGACTAAACCCCATAAGAAGATAGGTAACGATCATTCATTGGTGCAAGGACTCACCTAACATGTTATAGAATTTAAGCGGGTTCGAGTACGGTCAAGCTCCTACTGAAAATAATTGACCATTCGTCTACAATAATGAACCTCCCAACAAGACAACCCCTCATGAGTCATATAGCCCGAAAGGAAGGGAGTGGAACTGTCGCAATATTTTTCATAAAAATCCTATCCATTAGAATTATTTTTTTTTTGAGGGTCAGTTAGATTTTAGGAATGAAAAAATGATTTTCTTTAAATTAATTTACACTAAATTATTAAAAAAAAAAGTTATTTTTTTAAAAAATTATTTATATATATAAAAAAAATATCTATTTTTGATATTTTCAAAATTATTAGAATATTTGAGAATTTTGAACAATATTTTAAATCATTATCACGTGAATTCTTCAAATAATATTTTAAAAAAATAAAAGTAATTAAAAAACAAAAGATAAATTTGGAAAGAATCTATTACTTTTTAAATAAAAGATAAGGTTGAAATATTTTTGAATAATAATAAATTTAGGAAACATTAAAAAAAAATAAATTTCCATTTTGGAGAAATAATAGAAGGATTCTTTGCCTATTATTTTAATATATTTAAAAGAATAAGAATATTTAGGAAAGAAAAGATAAATTTGAAAAGAATAATAATATTTTTTAAAATAAAAGAAAAAGTTGAAAGATATTTTTATAACATAACTATTAATTATAATGAATTTATGTAACACTAAAAAAATAAAAAATAAAAAATAAAAAATAAAAAATTGTCCGAAGTCAACTCGAAATAAATGAAAATTTATTAATTTTTAATAAGAAACGGACGGCGGCAAAAAGAGGGGGGAGAAACACACCTCTTCACTAACTTTTAAGAGCGATCCAAATCCGAAGAGGAATAAACCCTACGAGAGTTTGGCGTTAATAGGCGAAACCCAAATCCCAATTCCTATTCTCGATCATTCCATCAAGAGCCCTAGATCACATTCTCTGTTTTTCTTTTAAAAAATCCTTTCTTTTTGCTTCACCTCCTTCCATTTCTGGCCTCTCTCAAATGGGTTCTCTTTATACTTTCTTTTAATGCCAATTGGTGTTTATCCGAGTGGTGGGAATTTACGGATGGACTGAGAGACCTTCTCCACTTCAATTTTGTTTGCTAATTTACTTTGTACTTTGTATATTACATTAACATATACATATATACTTTACATTTCTATTTTCAATTCGGTTTTTTGGCATCTGGGTGTTGATTCTATGGCTGTGGTTGCTGACGATTCCACTGAGGTAGCGGCTGCCAAGAATTTTGATCCGGAGATGAAACCCAAATCAGAATTTGATGCTCATAAGCTTGCTGAAATGTTTAGCAATTTGAACCCTTTGGCTAAGGAGTTCTTTCCTTCCTCTTACTCTCATCATGATCGCCCAGATTTTCAATTTTATTATCACAACTATAATCGATCCTCCATGAAAAACTTTCAGCCCGCCGATCAACTGTTGCACAATGATAACGATCGCAGGGTATTCTTTTATTTTGATCTGCTTTTTTTTTTGTTCTTATTTAGAGCTTGATGTCGAGATTCAATCCGTGATTCTGTTTGATCTGGGATTATTTTTGTTCTTGTTGATTGATTTTGAGTTAATGTGTGTGTGTTTTAATGTGATGAATTTTGCTCCGGGGTGTCTGGATCAAATTCCTGGAAAGGATCATTGTGCTATTCGATTTATTTAATGTCTCTTGACACTGAAAATTATTGAGATGTCTAAATTCAATCCATAGTTTCATTGCCAGAATTGGATTGAATTATACTTTTTGCTTCATCAGGGATTGTTTGTTCTTACTGATTGATTCCAAGTTAATGTATGTATGTTTGTAATGTGGTGAAATTCACTCTTGTGATGGGAATTTTTCCTAATTGAGTAATTGGAATTGTTCACTGTGCTATTGGTATTATTTACCGTTCTTGACTCTGAAAATTATTTTAGCAATCTGTGTGTGTTGATCACTTCCCATGACAACTGAATTGTACTGCAACTTTTAGGAATCATATCATGTAATTGACTGCTATAGTTTTCTATCACATTCAGCTCAGTTCACATCTCCGAACGAGAATTTTATGGTTCGGATTCTTGATAATACTGGCCATTCCTGTTTTGATTTGTCTGATTCACCTTCCAATTATCTATTAAATCACCTCAGATCTGTTTGGTATAATGATAACTCGTCATTATCTGTTTATGTTGCTACAAGTCTTTTATTTTTGCGAATGATATATCGATTCTTACTTCTTTTCCCATAACTTCTAAAGAATTTATCAAGAGATCCATATGCTTTTATGTTACTTTCTGTTTGTTACTGATACACCCTGGTCTACTCGCTTTCCTTGCAAATTTACTTAATGGGGATGTTCTCATTTAATACTTTAGATTCCAACGTCCCGACTGTCTTGAGGTTACTTGGAACGATAAATGTAACTATATTATTATCCGCCTCAATCCTAAGAAATAATCAAAATACATGCTTCATCATATTGTCTTACGTTCTTGTCTCTGCGTTAGACGCTTACCCTGTTTTAGTTTTCTCGTGTCCAGTATTAGGATCTTAAGACCGATAAATTTCACTCAAGGTTTGTGCTGGGCACTTGAACTTGGATTATTAGCCTATCTTCTATACAAGTTACCTCGATTACTTTAGTGTTGTTAAGTACTAAAATAGTATGAAAATGCTTGTCTAGATTGTAGCTCGTTGATAGATCGAACGATAATAACTAGGACAGTTCAGTTTTGTGATTCTCGTACGCTCATTATTGACTGTGTTGAGATTATCTGTGGTTAAATACAAAAGATATAGCCATCTTGGAATGAAACATATGGGTAGCCGCCTGTAACATGCCGAAAATATTCAGTAAAATAAGCCTTGCATCTTAGTTGTGTCTATTCGACTTGATAAAGTTGTGATGCTTTTATAAATTCTTGTCATTGGATAAAATTTCATTTCTTGTACTTGTTCTATGCTATGTTTTTACGCGCTTCCTTCTCGCTTCATTCTTCAGAGAAGAAATGACAATAATAACCAGGGGAGAAGAAGAATGAATAATAGATCTATCAGAGCTCAGCAAGAGGAAAGTGTAATGAGGACTGTTTATGTCTCTGATATTGATAAGGATGTGAGTATCATATCTTTACAAGCCTAGAGTCTTATTATGATGCATTGAGATAATTTTGAAATTAAAATCTTGTTTCTAATCTAGGTCTCTGAAGAGGAGCTTGCCAAGGTATTCAGGGAGTATTGTGGATATGTAAGTATATTCATTCTTCGGGTTCTATCATTTTGTCGGGAGGGTGGAAGTCTAGAGTGAATGTAGTTGATTGATGTTTTTAAACGGGGATGTCGAGGTGGGTTGCCACTGGACTCGATTCTGGCTTTCAACTCGTAACTATCGTCTTATTTGCATTCTTCTTAATGAAAAGACATGGTTTTTTGTTTAATTTATATTGGCCATGGGATGATAGCTATTCTTTTATAGGTTAATGATTGCCGAATTTGTGGCGACCCCCATTCAGTTCTTCGTTTCGCGTTTGTGGAGTTCGCTAATGAACGTAAGTTGATCTTTGCACCTTGAAATTCTTTCCAAGGAGAGATATATAGTTTGATCTTACATGCCACCTGGAATGTTTTGGGAACAGCTAGTGCTAGAGCAGCCACGGGGCTGAGCGGGACGATGGTGGGGTCGTATCCGATTAAGGTATTGCCTTCAAAAACTGCCATTCTTCCTGTGAATCCTACCTTTCTTCCCAAGGTACGGTGTTATCCTTTCTCTTCCTATATGGATATATACATATATGTATACATATATATATATATATATATTTATGCTCCCTACAAAATGTCTCTTGTGACAGTCAAATGATGAATGGGATATGTGTACCAGGACTATCTACTGCACAAATATAGATAAGAAGGTACTATTACATACTCAAGTGTTTCAAATGGAATGGATCAATGTTGAACTGATGGGGTTTTAAAATCTTTAATCTTGTTTTGTTTTTTTGTTTATAGGTATCTCAGATTGAAGTTAAGAATTTCTTTGAAACATCTTGTGGTGAGGTAAGATATAAACAGACAGCAAATTCGTTTTTTCGACGATTTTAACCGACTGTTATTGACAAGAAAATCTTCCTTTGAATTTAGGTAACTCGCTTGAGGTTGTTGGGTGATCAGTTGCATTCGACCCGTATTGCGTTTGTCGAGTTTGCTATGGTAATCTTTTTCTGTAACGCATTACACTAAGTTCGTCTCGTCTTATGCTAGTTTTTATTGACAAAGAAGCTCAGTATGAACCTTAGAACATTACATAAAGTTCTTCACTTTGTTGAGATCAATCTCTTTAGCTCTGTTTGTTTCCATGAGCAGGCAGAGACTGCTCTCCAAGCCCTCAACTGCAGTGGCATGATCTTGGGTACTCAGCCAATCAGGTATGGTTTCTTTACTGCTAACACCCTCTCACTTTCCCTACATTAGTTCAGATACATATTTTTTTGTGAAACTTTGTAGGGTAAGTCCTTCGAAGACGCCTGTTAGGCCACGAGTTACTCGCCCGGGAAGCATTAAGCCATCGTAGTAGAAGGCAAATATTCTCCAATATCAGTGTTGAGAAGTTGGCTAGTTTCTTGGCTGAACTTGTTTATAACTCTTCTTCAATTATAGTTCATTTGGCTGAGTTCCAATCTTTGACAATTATTTCCCTCCCCGACAAGTTCTGTCTTAGTTTTTTCTTTCGATCGCTACTAGTTAATGTTAATGTTGTTGGAGTTGTTACTATGTTATGCATTACTTTCATCTCTTGAGTTTTATGTTGCTTGAACATAGACGTATCAATCAAGAGATTAAAAGTTTATTAAATCCTTTAATCGGGCGTCGTTTAGATTCTATATAACACCTCGGTGGAGCAATTTAACATGGGAAAAAGATGACAAACGTCGGTAGATTATGTAGGGAGTTACAAGCAAGGACGAGGGCTTTGATAGCCATAAGAGAAGCCATAAACATTAGAGCAAGAAGAAAATATTTGCCCTACTTTTGGAGAGCTTTTGAGATGTATGTCCTCAAGCACTATGTCCTTGCATGGCCTGGTTTTACTGCATCTCAATGTCACTGCTGAGGCTGATTTGCTCCTTCCCCATATGTTTTTGAACGTCACGTTGCTTATTTGCACCCCTGATGACGTCTAACACAACGAAATACATTCAATTCACCAACGTTGTTGCACTCAAATAAGGAGAACGCTATTCAATTTGTGTCTCACTCTTTATACCATTAAATAGTAGAATCAATACTAGAATCGATAATAAAAGAACTGAGATATCTATTATGATTCTTACCCGTTGGTCACAAGGAGGAACAGGGCAATATTGTTGATCAATAATGATGGGGTTTCCAACCTCATTCATGAAAATATCTTCGTAGTGTATGTTATACGCATTTACATTTGCAGATGTAGCCCATGTCTTGATTCTCACACCATCAGTCGTGTCCTTAAAAGTACAATTCCGCACTGTGATCCCCGAAACATCCTCTTTGTCATACTTCCCCAAGCTTCCAATGCTAATACCATGTCCCGGCCCACAAATGACGTTCGAAACATAGATATCATTACTTCCGGAGAGTATCGAAATGCAATCATCACCGGTACCAATAATAGAGTTTGTAATATCAATATTATCAGAATTTCCAATCTTAATCCCATCCGTGTTAGGACTATCACTAGGAGCAGAAATACGAATCTTCGTAATGTTCATCTTGCTACATCCAAAGAGCAAGAAATGATTGTTCTTGCTATTAGTCGAGTGCACGTGATGAACTTTCGAATTCGTTATAAAATCGAATCTCATCGTCTGAAAAATCACAAAACGTTAATACATTTACGAGATTCGTAAAGAAAAAAAAAAAAAAAAAAAACAGTAAATGGGAATGGGAATTGAGAAGAAAACTAACAGTAGGAAGAGATTGGCAATTAGGGTTTTTCTTGCACTCATTTCGTGGCCAAGCCACAGATCCTTCACCATCCAATGAACCACCTCCACTGACACTCAACTGATCGACATATCGAAAGTTTATCCAACTGTCGGACGCAAGAAAAGACATGTCGGTCGGAGCCTTTAAAATACCCTTAATCACAAAGGCCATTTGCCCTTCACATGGCCCCAAAAACAGCACACTTTTCAACTTGAATGTACCTTTTGGGACATATACCCTTCCCCTCCCCTTCCATTCACACGCATCCTTCCATGCTTCTAAAAATGCCTAAAAAAAAAAAA